AGTTCAGATAGGAGCTGGAAAGGGGGGGCGGTTTAGGGATGCCGTTTTCTTTTTCCCCTCCACCACAACAGGTGGCACTGGGGTTGCCAGGTGGCTCTACCTGCCAGGTCTGCCGGCGGCAGCAGTAGCAGCAGCAGCAGCAGCACCCCCTCCTTCTGCCATCCTGGACGCACCTTGTGTGCACCTGCTTGCTTGCAGATGATGCCTCTGGTGTGTGGAAGGCCTTTTGCCAGCCGGATCAGCTGGCAGGAACTGGGAGAATGCCATACATCTGTGCAGCCAGGAACGGGGCTGAGGAAGGCTTTACAGCTCTTGCCGGCACACAAGAAACCGCTTAGCCTGAGAAATCTACTTCTTTGGACTGCAGGCAGCCTGGCCAGCGAACCTGTGATTGGTAGTTCAGAAAAGGACATTTTCCAAGTTGTGGAGAGACCTAAAGCACCATTCCCTCTGGCTGCTCAGCATTCGGCGGCGGGGTGTTTGAGCAAGACCAGCTGAAAAATAACGTTTCCCCAAGCTAGAACCCTTCCCAGTGTGAACAACTCCAACCATGCCCAGACACACACACACACACACACACACACACACACACACACACACACCCCTCCCTTGTTAGCGTGGGTGGTCGTGATGAGAGGCCTTTGGGCAAAGCCTGGCATCAAAAGACACACACCCCTTGTTAGCGCGGGTGGTAGTGATGAGAGGCCTAGTTTGCTACAGCCAAGCAAGGCTGGCCTTTGGGCAAAGCCTGGCATCAAAAGATCAAGGGCTGAAGATTCCGGAGTCAAACTGCCCACAGAACTGGTGAAACTATAACTTCACTCATTGCCAGAAACCAGGAAACATGGCTATTTTGCCCTGGAGTTTCTGCAGTTCCCCAGCCAGCCTGGCCACCAGTTGGGGATTCTGGGAGAGGCAGAATCCAGTCCACAAATGTCCAGGAGGAGACCTGTGTAGGACCAGGAAGCTCCATGTTTGTACAAAGTGCCCTTCCACTCAGGAAGGACCGCTTTCCTTCCGCAAAGTTACAAGCCAGAAGCAGGTCTCACAAAACCAGGTGCCCCACACACACACACACACATACGGGGGGGGGGGGAGAAAGAGAGGGAGAGGGAGATCCTGTTTCTTCCACTCCTTTTTATCATTAGTAAATCAACAGGGAAAGCTCTCCTCAGCAGATAGCTAGGGCAGGTGGATGAGTGATCCTCTCGTCTTTCTGCTGGCCATTGCACTTGCAGGCAGACACACACTGCTACCTTTGCTAGAAGTCAGTGGGTTCTTTTTTTCTTTTAAAAGAACAAAACCTTCCTTGATACGGAAAATCTGTCTAACAAGGAAAACAAGTTTTCAGGTTTTTGTTTCTAATTGAACTCCACATGTTCCAAGTTGTCCCTAGAGCAGAGTGGACAGCACAGGCCTCCACCTGCCTTCATATCTAGTAGTTTAAGGCTCTCAATTTAGCTGCTTTTAATTGAGCTGGGATTGAAATGGGCAGCAAGCAAGCAACAATGACGGGTGGTGTGGCAGGAGGTGTGGAGGGGAGGGGGGGAGACCTGCTGCAAAGCTGTTCCGGGTGCCAAGATTCAGCACAGATTGTTAAGGACTGCAGACTTTCCCCTCGGATAGGCCAGAAAGAGACGGGATCAGCAGCCGAAAGGGCAGGGCCGGCCTGGTTATGAGTCCCCCGAGCTCCTGCCTGGAAATGAAGAGGCTCTCAGGCTTGCTTCTGTCTTCTTGGCCCTGGCGCTTCGCTGCTCCTGAGCCCCTCGGGATGGGCAGGAGGGACACTTGCACCATTTATCCTCATGGGCTATTACTTAAGTTTGGCCATCCCTTTTTTAAAAGCTACAGCTGCCACTGTTTTCCAAGGAGGCTGCAACTGGAGCTAGGCAGCAGCAGGAGAAAGCAAGAACGAATCTGTTGTGTTCTTTAAGGCAAGAAGTGAACAGCACTTCAATTAAAAACACATTCTAATCAAACCAGGCTGGAGATTCTGACCAGCAAGTGCCCTTCACCAAAACGGCAGGCAGGGGGGTGGGATGGGGGGGGAGGACAGGGGCCAACTTCGGTCTAAAGGCAAGCAAAAGAAGGGGGTGAACAGCCCGAATGGCTCAAAGCCCAGTTTCCATCTCTGGGTGGCTTCGCCTGGCCAAAGTATGTCTTTCGTGGCCACTCTCCATACCACAGGGGTGTGTGTGTGTGTGTGAAAGAAGGAGCGGTGTCTCCAGAAATCACCAGCAGCAGTAGATGTTCCTCTGGGTGTTCTTTTGGTATCTCCTCCTCCTCCTCATCGTGCCTTTCCTCCAATGAGTTCAAGAGAGAGTACAGAGTTCTCCTCTTCTCGCACTCTGTCCTCACAACAAAACTGCGAGGTAGACTGGGGGGTGGGTTGGGGGGGGCTGAAGTAATCTTGTGAACCTCACGGCTCAGTCTGAAACTGGTCCTGGATTTCCCCCCCCCCCAATCCCAGGCTCACACTGATGGCAGAGCAGGGAGGGGCAGGACTGAGGATCACCACAAGCCAGGAAAGAAGGGACCACCCCTTTGGGTGCACCAACATCCTCCCCCTGCCACGGCTGAAACAGACCCAGTCACTGCATGTGAACCACTTGCCCTTCGCTGAGTTCTTACACATGGAAGAGGAAGAGGGAGGGGCAAGGTACGGCTTCACACCACTGGCCCTCTTGAGGAGTGGTCTCCACGGCCAGGTGAAGCCTCCACGTCCAAGTAGCAAGTGAGTCGCGGTGGGAGCCAGGATGCATGAGAGGCCGTTTTAAGGCCTGGGTAGGTTCTCCCCTCTCGTCTTTTCCACATCTGCACCTCGATTGCTGCTCTTAGGCTGAAATTCCACCCCCTTCTTTCTTAGAGGTCACTTCCTGCTTCTTGCCCCTCCAAGTCAGAGAGAGGCAGCCTTGGCCATAAGAGCTCAGCAGACCCACACCTCTAGGAACCAGCTGTAGGGATTCTGCAAGTGAGGTGAGGGTTTTTTCTCCTGCACACTCCCTGAGTGGACTCCTTCAAACCATATTTGCAGGTTCTGACCAGTCATCTTTTCCAGAGTAGTTGCTCCTACTGGGTAGCCACAAGGCCAGCACTGCCACGTTGCACTCGCCGTGGGGTACTTGGCCCTCCATGTGATGGAAGCAGATGAAGGATGAGATTGGCCTTCAGCCTCTTCCTTTGAGAAAAACCTTGCATTCTAAGAGAGAAGTGCTGAAAAGATGGAGGGGGCAATTCTTAGGGCACAGGGGTTGGCTTTGGGGATGGGCTAAGTCTGAAACAGGAATAGCAGAAAATGAGATGGAGATGCCACTCCACTGCCTCTGGCAGCTTGGAACACCTCGCCTCTGTCTTCGATGGTGGCGGTGGCGGCTGCATAATACATCTGGCAGATGGGGAGAATGTGCTTAGCTCCTGCCTCCAATCCTGACCAGCAATTCTTTCATAGACAAGGGAAGGGGCCGGGAGAAGCCGCACGGGAGTGACATCTGAGCACTGACAGAGATATAAAGACGTTGTTGCTGCACAAATCCTGTGCAAGCCGGCCAAAGAAGCCGCAACAAATCAGCCAGCCAGGGGACAAGGGCTGGCGTCTGATCCAGCAGGTGGGGCAGCAGGCATTAAACTGTTCTACAAGACCTAAGCCTGATCCCCAGCAGGCACAAGAGGACCAGAGTCTCTTGGCCGTGAGCTGGAAGGGAAGAGCGGAGGCTCTCGTCAGCCCTTTGGGATGGCAAAGAGAAGCCGTTTCCCCTGCGTTGTCCGAGACATGTTCATTTTGGAATGGAGGCCCACAGTGATCCCAGCAGTGCCAGCTGATACCTGTGGGAGGTGGGAGGGCAAAGGGCAGGGGTTGACACAGGTGAAGTCCGCTACCTCCAGTGTGCCAGCCATGCCCCTGTCCCTGCACAGTCTTGCCCCCAAAACTGATCTGCCCAAGCCAGCAGGACCAGCCCTGCCTGGTTCATGGTGGCTCACTTCCAGGAAAGCACAGGCAGGATGACAGCCTTCAGCTGCCCGAGAGGAAAGGAAAACATCCAGAGAAGGGAGCAGGCAGAGGCCTCGTTCTCGATACGTCAAGAATCTCCTGCCATCCTGCAAATGCAGAGCTCGCCTTCCTGGTGATCCCTTGTCAACTGCGCTTTGCAATGAACCATGAACCAGACAGTGCAAGTGAGAGTGAGAGTGAGAGCAGGGGGGGCATGCTTGGGCTACAGGTTTCTCCTCCTCCCCACCACCACCACTGCCAGCCACTTATCCTCCCAACCTATAAAGCAGAACCAAGTGGAGTTTCCCAGAGCCCTGAGTCCCAACTTACCCCCAAGCCATCCAGACCCCTTTGCTCTTTGGGGCTGGGGAGGAACCCAGGCATCCTGGTTCCTGAGTCCAGACCATTCCACCCCTCCACCAGCTCTACCTCCCTTTTCCAAACTTGGCTCAGACGTTCTTTGTGCCGAGAGCCCACAGGCTCGCCTCTCTCTTTGCCTCCTCCTGAAAGCCAACACGGTCATCCTGTACCACAGAGCCTTCCCTGAATCATTGCTGTGTATTTGTAATTGGCCCGCATTTATGTGCTTTATGAATTCATAACCATGTAAACTGGAAAGGAGAGGGAGGCAGTTCCCGACAAGAACCTCATCTCACAGAAGCAAAGGGGATGTCTGGACGCCTGAGCCCTGCTCCTCTGTTGTCACTATTAGAAATGAACCGTCCTGTCTGATCAGAACAAAATAGAAGGGTGGGGAGGGGGAACCTGGTCCAGCAACCTGTTTCTAACACAAGGTACTTAACACCCCAACAAGCAGACCGGGAAGGCAGTGGCTGTCCTATGCCATTTTCCCTGAGCATTTTGTATCCAAAGGTAGACCTGTGCTGAACATGGATGCTCTCTTGTTTTGGCTGCTTATGTGCCACTCACAAGATCAGTCTTTAACAAAGGAATGTATTACTTACCTTCTGGAACTCTAAAGAAATGTTCCTCTTTTGGGCATCTTCCTTACCTTTGAAGCCTTGCTGCTTTGGGTTTCTCTTTGTACGTGTTTGCTCATTGCTTGCTCTTGCCTGTCTTTGAAGATGATCCCGGTGTTCCTTGTTCATTGCTACCTCTCTGCATGCCTTTTTCTGTTAAATGGAAAGTTGGCATAGAAAAAAGGTTCCCAAATAAACAGATCTAAATGTTAGACAGACCCCTGCCCCAACAAGCTTACAGTCTGCCTTCAACAGAGCAGGAGGCAGAGGGAATGAGGAGAAGAGAGAGCTATGGGTATCAAAGATGGTGATTAATATGAAGAAGAGCAATTATGCAAGTGAGAGACAGCCCAGCCTTCCATGAGTCTGTCTAATGCTCTTCAAAGCCCTCTAAACTCAGCGGTCATCCCCACATCAGGGGGAGATTACTTCCATATGTTCATTATGCCTTGTTAAAGAGGCCTCTCCATTTCTTGCAGCCAAGCTAGGCCCACCCACAGACAGACAGACAGACGCCAATAGGGCAGTGGCAAAGCTGGGATCCTGAAACACAAGCGTCGCCTTTCACTTGTGGCCATCATGTTGTCCTTCATTTCAGTGAGGTCTTTCTGAACAGCTTGTATCACTCTGACCACAAGCCAGGACAAATGGCCAACTTGGGGTTGTCACCAGAGCCTCCCCAAGGTTTCCTCTGAGGCTCCAGCATGAAGGTGTTTGGGCACATGTTGCTTCGAATGACGGGAGGGGCCCAAGCAGGTGCACCCACAGGCTCTCTTCCTGGCCCCTTTCCCTCATTCCAGACTTTTTGGCCTTTTGCAGCGAGGCTGACAGCAGAGCACAAGCACTGCAACTCCTGAGACTTCTTAGCAGGCAAACTGGGGCAGCAGGAGTGCCGAGTCTGGTAAATAAGAACCCAGGAACCCTTCCGCTCCACCAACTGCTCCCTTCTCCAGCTCTGTGGCATCGCCAAGACCCAGGCCTTTGAAATCCTACCACTGTTCCCCACCCCAGGTCTCATGTTTTGACCCTGGAGTTCTCAGGAATGATGGAATGCTGATGACTGGGTAGTCCTCATTCATTTCCAGCACTGCAGCAGAAGGCCTGCTCAGGAGGAGGGCAATTCTCCTAAGAATTCCTCTGTTTACCAGGAGCCTTCTGCCACAAGTGGGCCTCTGTCTGCAGAGCCTCGCAAGCACCACTGGTGCTCTGTAGGGTTGTACAGTGGCACAACCTCGTCCCTCGCCCCTGAGATGAAGCTTCCTACCCTCTCCTGCTGGCCTAGGATTTTCTGGGCTGGTCTCTCCACCCAGCCTGCCCCTCTCAGCTGCCGAGCTTAGGCATCTCTAGATCCTCTGTGGGAGGTGGGAGACACAGACTTCTTTCTCAGGCCCACCTGGAAGTGCTGCTGGGGAGTCAGCTGGGGACCAAGGGCTCTGCCCACCAGTTAAGGCACACCCTTCTTTTCCCCACTCACAGGAGCATGTCCTGAACCTCCAGCCCACCCCCTGGTATGGGAGGGACAAGATGGCACTGGCTCTCCTTCCCACAAAAGGCTGTGGCCAATCAATCAGTCAATCAATCAATCAATTGTAGGAAAGGGGAAGACAAAGCATCTGAAAATGAGTATACTGTAAATAACATATGAAGACAAAACAAAGCACTGGGGGGGAAAACAAATGGCAAAAGATAAAAGATGACATAAGCCAGCTTTTCTACCATGAAAACCAGTTAAATCTTAAAGCACACACATCGCTCCAGCTGCCCAGATGGGATGGCTCTCTTCTAGCAGGTGAAGGTCTCCCATATGGGAGGTGGAGCAAGTTCGTTTTCTGTGGCTCCAGAAGGTGGACCTGAAACAACAGAGTCAAGTAAGAGGTGATGCTGACTCAATGTTGGGAAGAATGGTTAAGAGCAGCTTAAAAGTGGGGCAGTCTCCCTTGGAAGGGGTTCAGACACTCCTTGAGTGGAGATTAACCAAAGATTGGGTGGCCATTTATCAGGGATGCTTTACCTGTTGCTTTCCTGCCTTGGAAAGGAGTTGGACTAGAGGACCGTCTGGGGCCCCTTCCCATTATAGGAATCGCTGATTTTATGTACATGCAAAAATGCAGTCAAGTCAACAGAGGTGAGCTCATCACATGTGCCAACACACACAGGCACACACCAGGTTCAACACACCAAGGGCTTTCCTGTCCAGATTGTCTCCTGTCCCTCTCTTGTGAACCTTGCAATGGGACGAGGCCACCTTCTCTAGACTCCAAGGCCTAATAACGCGGCAGCTGGAAGAAGAACGCCTGCTTCTGAGACAGCTCCCTCCTGCTTGCCCCTCTGGTTCTAATTTCCTCCCAGGAAGAACAGCAGAGAGGCACAGGCAGAAGACGGAAGTTCCTGGCCATTGATCTCTTGCCAGGAAAGGTGAGGATGAAGCTCCAAGGGCCACCGTCAGTTGTTGCCACCATCTGCTCAACGCATTCAAGGCTGAAATCTCTCCCCACAGTCTCCCTCTCCCAACCTGCAATTCCATCACCTCTTTTTCTCTCTGCATAAAACAATCCTTGCACGTTTGACACCGCTTCCAGGTTTCACCTGATACAAAATCTGCCAACGATTAAGGCTTCCCTCTTTGGACAAACTACCAAAGCAGCTTACAATTAATCCACCCAGGAGGGAATGTTTTAAAAATGGATTAAGATGTTTGTTGCTGTCTCTCTGGATCCTGAATAATTTATCTCATTATCCAGAGGCAGTTTCCCCAGGAGGCAAAAGAGACCCAAGCAGGAGGATGAGAGTAGGGATGGGGTGGGGGAGTAGGATGAAGATGGTGGTGTCCCACCTTGATCTCCAGGACTTGCTTAGAGGAGCAGGGTCAGTGTTTGCCATGGGGAAGGCCCAATGCTCAACCCCCTGGAAGTGTTGTGGGGGGGGGGACAGAAAAGAATTCCCCCTGCCACTGGGGAGAACTGGTGCTGACAGCCAGAGCCGACACTATGCAGCTGGCTGAACTACAGGTGGTCTTTCCCAGCCTCGTCAAGGATCTTCCCAGAGCAGAAGTTGCTCCAGTTGGAATCTAGGACTGGCTGATGGGAGAAATCCCACCCGGAGCCAGCTGGTGGCTACTTCAAAGCAGGTTCTGTTGGAGCTCATGAGATTCTCCAGAGGGGTTCCCTCTGCCTTGAGCACACGGAGACTCCGAGGGAGTTTCCATCCGACGAGGAACATTTTGCAAGAGTAGGAGAGGAAATACCATGTCAACAAAGACATTCCACAGTGGTGTTGGGAACATATTTCTGACTAGATAGGCCTTTACTTGAGAGAAAAAGTAGTTTAAGATGATGAAAAGTGCTTTTGGTACCCCGTGTGATGGACAGAGTGTCAGACTAATCTCTGCTGAGCCATAGAAGCTCCCGGGTGAATGGAACTGGTCAAGCCACTCCTTAAACATCTCATTTACTGCGAGAGCCCTGTTAGGGTGGTTAGAAGTTGGTTCCAACGTGATGGCACAGAACAGCAACAACAGTTAAGATCAAGTGGCAAACTGTGCCCCCAAAGCATTCCTGAGGAAGGTGTTTTGCATCTTGGGGGAGTTCAGCAATCATCCTATGGCTCTTTCTGTCACTTTTGTGGCAGCATCTGGAACTTATGACTTTCAAAAGTGGTTTTTACAATTTATTGAGTAGCAATTTCTATTGAGATCTCTGTCCATAGAAACCTAGGTTTGGCTTTTCCCCTCTCTTCAAAACTAGATTTCAAACCATTCCTCTCTCTTATTTTTCTTTTCTTCCCCATTCTTTTAAACACCACCCTCAAACAACCAGCTTAATAACCAAAATTCATTAGCCAGCACTTAATTACACCTGCCATGTGCCGGCTTAGCTGAGAAGACATCTAATTAATAGTGTGTAAGTTACACTGGGAATCATGTTCCATAATTAAATGCAAGCCACTCCACTGTGTAATATTAATGAGATCTTTTTGATTATGCAAACGGCAGCACATGGAGAGGAAGGCAATTGGACAAGGGGCCCCCAAGAGAGGCAGGGAGACGGTTAATGGGCGATTAGCTTTTGATCATTCACAGGGGGACTCCCAGAACCCTTGCACTTACCAGTATCTTCCTTCTGGGAGGCAGAAAAATCCCAGATCTTCCCACTGCCTTCCTCTGACATCCCAAAATATAGACACTTGTTCTCTCTAAGGTATCTCAGTTGCTCCTAGCACACTTACTGAAATAACCTCTTCGTCTGATTTGCATTCTTGTGGATATATTTTCCCTTGCTTCCTGGCATTTGCATCTCTCTCTCTCTCTCTCTCTCTCTCTCTCTCTCTCTCTCTCTCTCTCTCTCTCTCTCTCTCTCTCTCTCTCTCTCTCTGTGTGTGTGTGTGTGTGTGTGGTGTGTGCGTGCTTATTTGGACTTCTAATCTTTATTCTTGGCCAACACTCTCAAAATGGGCTTACTAAATATAATGATTGCACAGAACAAAGAAACAAGAAAAATTACATCTCAAACCTGGATCTTAATAACTGTAACACTGTCTCAACTCACAAAATTAGGCCCTAGATCAGATGAGCTTAACATTTAGTTTGCACAAATATATCATTTTATGTATATGCATGAAAATAACTAATATGTAAATATCAGTGAAGGGGGTGACATTAAGAAATAATTAGGGAGAGTGAAACCTCTTTTGTAAAAGATGGCAGATTAATTATTACAGGCAGAGGAAGGCGTTTCTTCATGAAATGCTTCTAGCCCCCTGATAGGGCAATATCATTGTTAGGGGAATCAAAATGTCACAAAACTGTGCAGCCAGCTTCTTTACCCTCCAGAATGGTTCACTGTACTAACCGAAGGGGTTGGGGACAGGTGGAGAGGAAGCTGCCTGATGTGGAAGGGATGGAGGGCTGCATTGAAGTTTTTGTTGCCGGCTTCTTGATATCTTAGCATTTTAATGCCAAAGCTGCCTGCCTTATGGGTGGGCTTTCCAGGAGGGCAAAAGAGAAATGTTCCAAAGGTTGGGGTGATTTGGGGGCTTTTCTGCTTCTCTCTTGAGTCCAAAGTCCAAACTAGGTAATGGTTAGCCTGACAAAGACTCCTGTTGGGTTCAAAAACTGGCATTTTTATAGTGGTCCAATAAAATTATTACTTAACCCTGATTTTCCTCCTTTGAAAGTGGTCTTGCTAATAAGCGTGACTGCTTCCATTCATTAAAAGCTTAAGCGGGAACATTGGAAGGGCCTGGCTTCTGGACACAAGTCAAAGGGACAGAGGGGCTGTACCATCGGAAGCAAGGTGGGAAGAAAGAAGGGAGTCCAGGGAAGCTCTAGGAAGCCCACCGACAAGGACATAGTCATTGGCTCTTGAAACACACACACACACACACACACATATCGGTGTGCCAGTCCCATAATTCTAGACACTCTAGGCTCGGAGGTTCAGTGGCAGATATAATGCAACACATCTAAAGAGGAGCACATCCCAGAAAACAGCCTGTCCTACAACCTAGATGCCCTACAAGAACCAGAAACATGGATGTGGGTGATGCCTCACTGGGACCCCCCTCAAGGCTCAAAGCAGGCCACTTTCTGAGTCTTGGAAGGCCGTTCTTCTATCCAGCCACTGCAAAGCTTGAGGTGGGAGCAAAGCAGAAAAGCCCAAGCACTATCCGGACCAGAGGCTGCAGGAATGTCCCCAGATGAAAACACTGAGATTGACCTCCAGCCATATGGGATGCAGGACAGAGGAATCTGCTGCTGGCGCTCTCTGCAGGTGGATGAGGACTAGACCGAGAGAAGGGGGGGGCAGGTTCTCATCAGCTGCTTCTCCTTAAGAAACAGCAGAAGGAAAAATCAGGCATGTTGCCATGGTGATCTATAGGACTGGCTCCATTCATAAAACCACAGGTGCCAACCCTGCACATGGAGCTGATTGTTGAATCCTTCCCAGGTAAAACTCCTCCTCTGAAATGGATGCACTGGATCCGCCTCCCAGGGCTCTGGTAAGGATTGCTGCCACCTTCTGCCCAAACCCCTAGAGAGACCCAAGAGCCCTACAGCAGAGGATTCCTCAGAGTTCAGTCCTTTGGGGTCCATGGCTAGGAACCTTCTTCCTCCCTTGACACTCAGAAGGGGCTCTTTCTTTGAACATTTTCAGTTGTTCCACCCAAAGAGCTCAAGTGTGGCTCCTCTTCTCCTGCTCATAACAGCCTTGTGACGTAAGTCAAGCTGGGCAAGTATGACAGACGCAAAATCACCCAGGGATTTGAACCCTGTTCTCCAGACTCCTGATCTAACACTCTAACCACTAAGCTAAATTGCCTGTGTACAGAGCAAGGAACAGCCAGCCCCCCTCCACCAGTCTTGCAGACACTTAGAGCCTGGACATTTAATTTTAAAAAGTAATTAGTCAAAATTACAATCCTCCTTCCTTTTTCATTTACTTACTGTTATAGTTGGACTTTTAAAATGTAACTCTTTACTTTCTCATTTTTAAAAGAAACTTTTCTAACTATTTTTGGGGGGTGGGAGAGAAGGAAGACACATCAGAGAGAGAGAGAGCCAGAAGATGATGACAGTGCCTAGAGGCGACCTGCAAATTCTATGAACAAGACAGGAGGCTGCAAGGGAAATGCCTTGCCTGGAAGCGCCTCTGGAATTATTACTCCAGATTTCCTCCAAAGCCTTCTAACTAGGAGAGGGTGGACGGCAACTCCCAGCAGTGTCTGGAGGGACAAAGGTTTGTCTCCTTGTGCTTCCAGAGGGGAAATCATTTCTCAAAAGTTAATCTGTTGCCCCTAGTTCGTTAATATTTTTCAATAATTCATATAAAACCTGCTATTATGATAGTCATAA